TTGAGGCCATCCTGAGATGTTAAAGGGACTCACTCTCCAGACTGTACCTCTGGGGGAACAGTATAATGTTTAGGTCTGGAGAAAACCTTTTTCCTTTATTTTTGTGACATCTCTACTCTTGCCCAGAAGGTGTTGGCAGTGTCTGCTTGGAGGTGGAATGGAGGCTGTTAATAAATTCTGGTTTCAACACTTTGATAAGAATTTTAATCTATTACTTAAAACTCCTGACATAAATGAAAATCTGTGATCCCCTTGAGGGTGTCAGTCTCATTTAAATATGTGGCAGATTCCTGATTCATGAATTCTTGCTGGATTTTTTTTTAATTAATGAATTTGGAAGTCCTAAAATTTACTCAATGGAATCTTATTACAGAGAAGGTGCCACATTCTAAGTACACTTAGTATAGTCTTAGCCACTCATCTGGGTAAGACTTCAGATTGTGTGATAAGAGCAAGTGGGTGATGGAAATACAAGTTGTGGTCTAAGGTATTTCCGATGTCGGCATTGCCCCCAACTTGGACCTCCTGTATTCCTAGTAGATAACCTCTCTCTACAGCGTAGGGTTTATAATGCGTGCAGATATATCATATGTCCAAGTAGGATGTACGTGTCTGTGTGTATAACAGACTGAGATCTCTCCATGTAGTGGGCAACTTTTACATCCTTTTGGCTTTTCTGTACTTTCCAAAGTTTCTACACTCAACACTTACTACTTACGCTTATGTACTCAGGAAAACAGTGAGTGTTATTCGTAAACATATGATGACCTTTCAGGAAGAAACAAATCCTAAAACCAGGTCAAGAATAAAAGCAATCTTTTTTCTTTTTTTCAGAGATTGTAGGAGTTGAGGGTAGTAGAGAATTTTCTAACTCCAGCTTGGCAGAAGCGATCTGGAGTCCTGTGTCTGCAGTGTAGAAATTACGTAAACTAAGGAAGCATTCAGAAAGCCCTGCATCGCTTATCCCCGCGTGGGTGGGCTTCAGCAAAGCTTGTATGCAGTTGTGAAGCAGATCTGAGCCCGGGTGAGGGGCGGACCCAGCAGTTTTCTCAACGGTCTGTGTCGCTGCCCAGGGGGAAGTTTAGACGTAGCATTTGCAGGGATATTTTGATTATCACAGTGACTGGGACTGCCACTGACCTCTGGTGCCTTGTGGGGGGGGCAGTCACAGGCTGAGAAGAGCTGTTCCCTCTAAAACCCCAGGAAGGTTCTGGTGAATGATGGCAGGTGACTAGACCGAGCGGGTGTTTCCCGAGTAGAGAGGAGAGAGAAGGGGTCCTGAGCCAGGCTGGATGTTGTGCTCAGAGTGCGTCGCAGGCCTTTGTTTCTACCCAGAGAGACCCGGTTAGCACTGCCTCCATTGTGAAGGGGATTAATCCACATGGAACCCAACTTTTCGTCTTCCCGATACGCCACAGATGCCCTGAAACGAGGCCTCAGAGGTGGTGATCGCAGTGTCGACTCAAACATTTATAAAGTGCTAGTCAGCAGCCAGGCGTGGTGAGTAAGCCACCTCAGTGGAGTTGTCCTCACCTCCGCGTGTTGTTATCCATATAAACCCATTTTTACATGGTGGTCATCGTGGTGACACCTGCTGCTGCTTTACTTAAATGCATCTGCTCTTATCTACATTTCTATGCAGTATTCACAGTTGAGTGCCTGTTTAATTGTCTCTCCTGCGGTGGTACCACGATTGATTAACCCATTTTTGTACTGTAAATGCTGACATTTCTCTTCCCAGTTTTATTTTGCAGCTACAGGCAGTGCTCCCATGAGCATCTTTATACACATGTCCTTTTGCTTCTGGATATTTTCTTGAGAAAATATCTAGGAACAGAACTCTTGGCTCAAAGGCTGTGTATGTTTTTGACTCTTTTTAAATAGGACCATTGTGTTTTCTCCCAGAGTCGTACGGAATCGTTCTGCCATCAGATATAAACGTGAATTTCAGCACAAACTCCACTGTCAGGGTCCCTCATTTTTAAAATTCTTACGATTTGGCTGGGAATAAAATAGTGTTTTCTTGGATGAGAGTAAAATGTACCAGTGACTTTGAACGGTGTTCCTCCAGTTTCCTTGAAAGAGTCTGTTAACCTCTTGAGGTGGTTGGGGATATAATGTCAGATTTGTGACACTTAAAACCACAGTTGCTCTTGAGGATGGATTGTCTAGGATTTTCTCTCAGCGAGATTATTTAGCCCGGAAAGTCAAACAGCAACTCTGCACAAAATCCCATATTCATTCACCTTTTCACCACCTCGGGCAGATACGAAATGGCATCGAATATGTATCCGTTGAGGACGTGGCATTCGAGTGGTGCGCAGGACAGCGGGAAAGGGTCCCCCAGTCACCTTGGGAGGTGGTGAGTCACGGAGGCGAGGAGGGGTGAGCAAGAGGGAAAAGGACCTCGTCTCTGGCTTTAGTTCCAAACCCTTTGCTGGTTTTTCATTAACGTTTTAGCTTGTGGCCGTTACGCTTTCATGTGGAGAGCACCACTTAGGTGTTGCCAGGATTGGGGTGGAGGGTTCATTTCCACTGTTCGCTGTCAGGAAGCTGTGAAGATATTATTGGAAAACACTCTGTTCTGTGTCATCAGGTGGAAAACCCTGGCAGAGCCCCATTTTCACTCACCCCCTTTGTATTATGCATATATGTATATGAATGAGAAGCAACGCCTGGCTTGTCCCGTGTATCTCAATATATAGTCTTGTAGTCCTGACTTTCTAAATAAATGAGGGTGTGGTAGCTGGTTACTCATGGGAAAATGATTGGAGACAACAAATAGGTTGAGAACAGGACTCCTTGGAAGAGCAGAAGCTCAGCACCCATTTTAGGGGTGCCCCTGGCTGCCCCTCCTCCCCCACACCCTAGCAATGGCCTCACAGAAGCCACACACGCCACCCCCCACCCATCCTATTACACGCGTGACTTCTCAGGTCCTTTTCGTTTGCTCATTTCATCTAAAAAAATCAGAACATGTTCTAATCCAACCTACCCCCAGGCCAGATCTCACAAGATATGTGTTTTTAACTTTTAAAATTCTAGTAAAATATACACTTAACCGTTTTAATGTTATTTTTAAAAAATCATGGGCCAGCATCTCCTCCTCCTCCTTCTGCTTCCCCACCACACACACACACACAAAAACCAGCATGGATTTTACCTCCAGATATTTCATCTTGATCTGGAGGGTAGGATTATGGCTGATATCTTTTTTTCTTTACAGTTTAATGTATTTCAGAAATTCCAATGTTATTTTTTTTAAGCTGGAAAAAAAAGAAACATCCAATTTTCTTTAGAGTTTTGTGAAATAAACAGACAGTTCTCGAATTACGAAAGTAAGGTGGCATTGCTATGAAGTCAGTGTGCTTCAAGACAGCTGTCTACAGTGACATTCAGAACTGAGGCACAGTAATAAACAGATATGTAGACAGCATCTCATGAGCCAGTCCCGTGACAATCCTGCAGACACCATGAGGGTGATTTTGTTGATATCAATAACCCCCTCCCTCTGCATGTGACAGGTTACAGGGCACCTGCTCATTTCAGTTAAGGGGGACACAAAACCAGGAGCCTTTTGTGCCCCATTTTAAAATGCAGTTTCAAATTTTAAATGGTGTGTATCCCAAAACACTGCTGAATTCAGGAACCCTATTCTTCCCTCGACCTTTGCAGATGGATAGCCTCTCAGAGGTGCCTTGGGCGCTGGTAAGAAAGATTCCAGTGTCTCCTCTGCCTGCCTCACCCCCAGGCCTCCCACCTTAGCACTTGGGACGT